TTTCCATGGCTTTCATGTGTCTTTCCACTGTTTGTTCTTGCTACGGGAGTCATGATTTAAGGAAACTAAAGGAAAATAGCTTACAATTTTTTTTTTATTAAAATAAACAATTTTTACATTCATACACTGTGCTGTGACATCATTCATGATCATGTTGGTCTGTATTGGTTAAACAGAAATGGAAATCTGAGAATGAAATTAAAAAAGAGAGAGCCCGTCCCCCAGATATGCATTCACTGCCCAATTTAATAGGTAAACACCTGTACACCTCTTCATTCATGCGATTATCCAATTAGATCAACCAATCATGCGTGAGCAGCGTAATGCACAAAATCATGTTGATACAAGTCATGAGCTTCAGTTAATGTTCACATCAATCATCAGAATGAGGAAAAGGTGTGACCTCAATTACTTTGATTGTGGCATGGTTGTTGTTGGTGGCGTTGGTGTTGTGGGCTGGTTTGAATAATTCAGAAACTGCTGATCTCCTGGGATTTTCACACAGAGCTTACACTGGTGCGAAAAAACAAAATACATTTAGCGAGTGGCAGTTCTGCAGAAGGAAATGTCTTGTTGTTGAGAGAGGTTAGAGCAGAATGGTCAGAGTGGTTCAAGCTGACGGGAAGTTGCAGTAACCCAAAAAAAACACATCTTAAAACCATAGTGAACAAAAAAAGGATCTCAGAAAGCACAACGTTTTTAATTTTGAAGTGGATAGACTACAACAGCAGAAGACCACATCAGGTTCCATGCCATGTTTAAAGTCACTGAAAACACATTTTCCCCATTTCGATGTTTGATCTGAACATTAACTGAAGCTTTTGACCTGTATCTGCATTACTTTATGCATTGTGTTGGTAGTACATTTTGCATGAATAAGCATGGGTACAGGTGTTCCTGTTAAAGTGGCCAGTGAATGCATATTAAACCTCATCCTAGGCCATGAAAATTGATCCTTAACCATGTGCTGTGATGTACTGCAGGAATGGGAAGAACTGTGTCCCGAAAACCTATTGAAAGTAGAATGTTTACTTCCACTTACTGTGATGAGTAGAGGTGTGAGAAGAGCACTGCTCAGGGTTGGAGCTCAGGACCAGCAGAGGCAGTGCTGCAATAAGCAGTGTCCTCAAAGGGAACATTGTATTTGGAGTGGGACACCAGAGGGCCCTGACCTCACAATTTCAAAATCTTACGGCCTGTGTGAGAACCTGTGAGAGATATTCAACATACACTTACCTTTCTAAACACATATGTACATATATTAGTGTTATTGCTGTAGTTGATTTAGCACACTCACACACATCTGCTAAAAATAATAGCTACAACAACATCCTACAATACTATATAACCTGGAGTGGAAGGATAGACAGATTAAACAACAACAAAAAGACTGAAATAATGTTTTGGTCAAAGAGAAGGTGAAGGTTTCTTCACACACAGCTTTGAGAAACTCATAGTTCTTAAAGATACACGATTACATACTATTCTATAGTAAAACCAATAGTAGTATAGTAAAGTTTGTAATAAATTAAATTTGTAAAGTATAATCATCACAAAGCCTATGGTATGGCAAGGTTAAATAAGATAGATAGATAGATAGAGAGAGAGAGAGAGAGAGAGAGAGAGAGAGATAGAGAGAGAGATAGATAGATAGATAGATAGATAGATAGATAGATAGATAGATAGATAGATAGATAGATAGATACTGGTCACCAAGGGGAAATCTGGGATCATATTACAGCATTGCAGGCATGGTGCCATACATCCAAGATGTTATGATCTATAGATAAGATCCTTTATAGTTTCAGTTATTTCCATCAGAGTAGGCACATAAAGGTACCTTGCACCAGGAAAAACAGGGGACACCTAGATTTGACCATGGAACTGCTTGATCTGCAGTCAAATGCTCTACCACTGAGCTACACCCCTATGGGTAACCACATGGGGTAAACAATTCGATCAGCCGTAAAATGAAAACCACCTGCCTGATATTGTGTAGTTCCCCTTGTGCCACCAAAACAGCTTTGCTGTGGTATCTGGCACCAAGACGTTAGCAGTAGATCCTTTAAGTCCTGTAAGTTGCAAGGTGAGGCCTCCATGGATCAGACTTGTTTGTCCAGCACATCCCACAGATGCTCGATCAGATTGAGATCTGGGGAATTTGGAGGCCAATCCAACACCATGAACTATTGGTCATGTTCTTCAAACCATTCCTGAATATCAGTCAAACCATTAAGGAATACTGTTGCCATGAAGGGGTGTATTTGGTCTGCAACATTGTTTAGGTAGGTGGTACGTGTTAAAGTAACATCCACATGAATGACAGGACCCAAGATTTCCCAGCAAAACATTGCCCAGAGCATCACACTGCCTCCACCAGCTCGCCTTCTTCCCATAGTGCATCCAGGTGCCATCTTTTCCCCAGGTAAGCAAGGCACACGCACCCAGCCATCCACATGATGTAAAAAAAAAAAAATTATTCATCAGACAAGGCCACCTTCTTCCATTGCTCAGTCGTCTGGTTCAGATGCTCACGTACCCACTGTAGGTGCTTTTGGCAGTGGACAGGGGTCAGCAACCTGTAATTCACTGTGCGTTAACTTTTTCAGCAATTTGTGCTAGAGTAGCTCTTCTGTGGGATCGGACCAGACAGACTAGCCTTCGCTCTCCATGCGTATCAATGCGTCCATGACCCTGCCGCCGGTTCACCTGTTGTCCTTCTTTGGACCACTTTTGATAGATACTAATCACTGCATACAGGGAACACCCCACAAGACCTGCAG